AATAAAAGAAAATACAAAACAAAGTATTATTACCTAAAAGAATTGAATTAAAGTCCTTATCTTAGGGTCCTTTAGCACTTTACAATCATTAACCCAACTTTAAAACCAATATTGTAACCTTCTCATATTCTAAAATAGCACCATGGCTCACTAAATATTAGACAAAATATATATATATGAGCTATTAGATGTTTATTATTTTGAAAATTTACTTGACTATTTATAATGACAGAAAAACATATCTCTCTCTTTCTTTTTTTTTTTTTTTTCTGTACATACAGCCTGCTAGCTCAAACCGTTTTCCTTCCAGAGAACTAAATCTAAAGTATTTAGCCTTCATCAGATATTTAAATGAAATATTTAGAAGCTTTTGTAAACTTAAGAAAAATATAATATTATAATTATAAATTTAATGAAACTAGCAAGCTAAACTATAGATGGATATAGATCATAGTATTTATAAACTGATAACTTACTAAATAGAAGTATTAAAGCTTTGCTTAGAAAAATTATTAAAAGAAACTTATGCTGAGCCCTTTATGTATTGAAATCTGAAACCAATGTAGGGTTTGTGAGAAGTATTCGCACGGATCAGCTAGTATACTTATAAAAAATATAAATTTACAATTAGTGATGAAAATAAAAATTAGTCCGCTCGGCCACTCAACCCTCTAAAATGACTTGTTTTATAATTTAAAAAACATAATTATAAAAAAGACATTTTATATTTTTATTTAAACAAAAAAAAAAAACTGGAGTATCTATAGTTTTTCATTGCTCCTCTCCTTCTCCCCCCTCCCCTCCCCCCCGTTCCATGTTACAAATCTCTTACAACGGCAAGCAGTGGCCGAGATCCTCGCGGCGTACAAGGAGTGATCCTTTTTTCCCCCCCGCTGCTAAGGATGGAAGGCATACCTCCGGCGGACATACAGGAGCCAGGACCGCGCTACCGTAAGGACACTCCAGGAGCGAGGAGCGAGGAGGAGGGAGCCAGGACCGCGCTACCGTAAGGACACTCCAGGAGCGAGGAGCGAGGAGGAGGGAGCCAGGACCGCGCTACCGTAAGGACACTCCAGGAGCGAGGAGCGAGGAGGAGGGATTCTGGAATCCAGTCCACGGTCCCAATTCCAGTTGGTCACCGCCGCTTTTTGTCAAAGGACCGGCACAATTATAGGCCGCCGTTATCACCACAACAAATAGGATTCGCCCGCCTCGCCGCCTCCTATATCCTCCGTAGATCGGGGATCATCTGTTGTCGTCTCGGCCCGGGGTAGACCGGGAGCGGCGCATCAAAAGGAACCGTCTGGACTTGGGAAACCCATTTAGTACTCCCGTGTTCTCAGCCGAGGAATAAATTTATCTCGGAGTCCCTTCTGCTTAAGGCACTGTCTTTGTGTCGGATAGTGTTAAATAGATTGGAATATTTAAATGTCCTATATATCCCTACAGTTCCTTTTTTACACATAGATATTTTTTTTAAAATTTAAACGCTGAATATTGAACATATTCTGTTTGTACAACTTTATTTTTATATTGTACTATATCTTTTTATAATACTTATTCCAGTATATTAATCAAGGAAAGAATGTTAATTAATCTATGAGTTATTCTACATGTGCAACTTTACATACAGTATTAATTAGTGAACAGTGAATGAAGTATATATTTTTTAGCACATATTGTTTTAAAATACTGGATCTTACCAAAAAATTTCAGCCATTAAAATTAATATATATATATATTTACTTTACCATAGTTGGGCAATTAGTTTTAACTAAAATTGACGACTGAAAAATAATTAATCAGAAATAAACAAGCGAGGAGCTTACCATTAATATTAATAAATGTATTTCTAAGTTTGTTTTTAATAACTTAATCTTCTATTGTTTGAAAATATTATATAATAAGAAAATTATCTTTCTTAAATTTATATCCACTTAAAATTATTGAATTTTTTTTTGCAATAGAAACTTGGTTTCATAAAAACGAGTCTTACAAACTTAAAACAGTTTAAATTACTTAATACAGTATTTAGATGACTGTATTAAAGTATATCTAAATAATAGCTTTTCAGAAAATCATTCAAAGAGATTTTTTAAAAATAACATGGTTAGTTTTTATTAAACTCTAATAATTAGGCCCAAACAAGTACGCCATTCTCAGTGATGATATATATATATGAGACGGAGATATCCCAGGAAAATAGTACGAACATGTTCTGTTTGTACTATTTTGTTTTTATATTGTACTATATATTTTTATAATATTTATTCCAGTATAATAATCAAGGAAAGAATATTAATTAATTTATGAGTTATTCTACAACATGTACAAGTTTACATACAGTATTAATTAGTGAACAGTGAATAAAGTAGGCATTTTTTAGCACATATTGTTTCAAAATACTGACGGGATCTCACCAAAAAATGTCACTCATCAAAATTAATAATCTTTTTTTTTACTTTGCCATAGTTGGGTAATTAGTTTTAACTAAAATTGACGACTGAAAAATAATTAATCAGAAATAAACATTAATATTACCATTAATATTAATAAATGTATTTCTAAGTTTGTTTTTTATAACTTAATCTTCTATTGTTTGAAAATATTATATAATAAGAAAATTACCTTTCTTAAATTTATATCCACTTAAAATTATTGAATTTTTTTTTGCAATAGAAACTTGGTTTCATAAAAATGAGTCTTACAAATTTAACACAGTTTAATTATCTTAATACAGTAATAAGATGACAGTATTAAGTATATCTGAATAACTTTTCAAGGATTCGTTCAAAGAGATTTTAAAAAAAGAACATGGTAAGTTATCATTAAATTCCAATAATTAGGCCAAAAACAGTACGGTATTCTCAGTGATGATATAGATGGATATGGATATGATATATATATATATGAGATGGAGTGATGACAAGAAAATAGTACGAATCAAGTAAAATAATAAAAACGTAAAAAATATAATACACGATTTTAAGTAAATAGTAAAATAATGAAGTTAATAATGGCAAAGACAGTCTGAATTGGTTTTTCCACAATTAGGGATGGCCAAAATGGTCCATATAAAAAAGGTTTGTATTGTAAATATTACATTGTTTAGATATTGTATAATTTACTACCTATTTAATAACAACATATTATAATATAGGCAATAATAAAATAATAATAAAAAAAAAAAAAATGCATTCCATCCTACAGGAAAAATATAGAGTGAGAGAGAATTTTCGATCCGGGGACGTTTCCTCTTTCAACTGGTATTTTTTTAAAAAGCTGCTTGTTGAAAGGTATCAGTTAAAGAGTATGGAGGAAACTATTATTTTGGACATACTGAGAATCTTGCACTAATCACCTGTATGAATTCTAGGAAAAGATAGGAGTTGGAAGAAAATGAGGAGAAAAAGAGAAAACTAAAAAAAAATCATAAGATTCCATATTTACGATGAGAGTACCGTAAATTTTAATATTTTTTCTATAGTTTTCTTACATGTTATCTAATATATTGATGTATATGCTGTATCATTTAGTAACTTAACACTGGTGAGAAACATTACAATTCTATTGAACTTCACACTAAAATAATTACATAAACATTTGTTTTAACAGACTTCCAAAGTTTTACAGCTAATCGAAAAATCAGTTTCATTATAATAAAACATAAATATATAAAATTACATGTATGTAATAATAAAAAATATTTTATTTTTATTTATAAGAATTAAACTCTAATTAAATTAAACTGTAAATTGGTCAGTATTGAAAATTAGATATTATTTAATCGAAACCTATGTTGATAGTAACTCGAACACGCTAGAAAAAAATTAATAAATAAAAAGTAATGGAAGTCACTCTAAATTCAACGTTCCCGCGCAGTCGTAGAGAAGAGGTCGTCCTCACGCGGCTGAGGATCGGACATACTAGACTGACTCACCTCCACCTCATAACAAAAGATTCTATCCCTCGATGTCAAAAGTGTAACCAATCACTAACTACAAAACATATTTTGGAAGAATGCCCTTTTTACAGCACAAGATTAAAAGATTTTGGAATACCCCAGAATATATCAGCATCCCTGGGAAATCAAGAAGAAATAGTTACCAGTCATCAAGTTTCTGGATAGTGAAAGACTTAAAAAACACATTTGACAGACTTTTTTTTATTAATTTTCTTTTTATCTATTTATTTTAATTATATTTTCTCTTATTATTATTTTTTTTTCACTTGATTTCATTTCATTTTAAATTCATTTGTTTATTAATCTCAATTCATTTATTGATTCTACTGCTATTTTTTAAAGTTTATTTATTTATACATTTTTTATACATCTCATTACCTATAAATGTCTATTATTATCCTTATTTATTTTATTTATTTTTTTATTTTTTTTTTGTACCAATCATCCAAGTAGTATTAAATGATGTTATTTAGTTGATCGGGCGCTTATGACCTGGATGTTTTGCGCCTAGACATCGAAACAAACAAACAATCAACGTTCCCGCGTGTTAAATCCTCAATAAATTGGTGCAAGGTCTGAAAACTGTTTTTAGAAGTTCAAATCTTTGTTAACAATGGGGTATGTCTGTTTTTCCGGACGATTTGTGAAATGTCGTAACAACGAAACATATATTTAAAAACCGATTTTTCAGCTGTTTTAGGATTCACAAGAAGTACCTAATTCCGTCCACACACCGTTAGGTTTCAACAAAAAATAACGGCAAAATAGCTCTACGTATAAAAAAGATCGTTTGTTCAGTTGTTTACTGTCCAGTGTAGTACGGATTCTCCATGTCAGGTGAAGTAACTGAAGTGGGAATCGAACCCACGCTGTTACTCTAAATAATCAAGTGATCTAAGTAGGGTATTAAGTGAAAATAATGTGATGTGCAAGCTGCACCAGATTTTTAATTTATTTTGAGTAGTTATCTCGAAAAGTTGAATTGTTGGTAAAAAATAATTTATCGATATCCAATATATATATATGTATATACCATGTATTATTGAAGATATATATATGAAATAGATAAACTAGATACCTGATATGGTGGGATAGTAGGCGGCGGGGTCAAGATGGTGGGCCGTGGGGTCGTGAAGCCTGTGCTGGGGGTGCCAGGCGGCGGCCTCCTTGTATTGGTGGGCGGGCAGCAGCAGTCCTGTACCGTACTGCATGTTCGCCTGGTGGTACTCGTGCACTGCCCTGCGCCAACGTACCAATACAAATTAGATAATAAATATATAATATATTATTATCTAATTTATATATATATATATATATATGTATATATATATATGTGTATATATATATATATATATATATATATATATATATATATATATATATATATATATATATATATATATATAATAGAATAGAATAGAATAGAAAAATAACTTTAATCTGGGACGAAGTCCCTTTAGAATAACAAAAAAGTACAAAATTAAAGTATTATATCTGGCCTAAGTAAAAACAAACATAAAAAGTAAAAATAAAAAAAAAAGTAAAGAAAATATTAGTTAAATATACTTGGTACAAAATAAAAAAAAAAAAACGCTGCAAATGATTTCACAATGGTTTATTATCTCCAAACAATTATACATCTAAAGTAACAATACCTTCCTAGTTACAAAGAATAAAAGACAAATAATTCCATTTATTGGACTAAACTTTTCTGTTTTTTAATCATCAGTAATATGCTAAAAAAAAGTAGCATTACTTCAGTAATACATTCAAAATCTAAAAACCAAACAAATGATATAACATTTGGAATAGAACATATAAAAAAAACAAAACCGGAAACCATGTTTTTGCTCCTAATTGTCCGATTTCAACGATTTTTTTATTGTTTTTTTAGAAACTTTTAAAAAACCATATCGACATACAATAACAACAAAAAAGTAAAAACTTTTCGAGTTATTCGGAATTTAATTTTAACATCCCTCGTAACTTTTTGTCCAGCTTCTTTTCGTTGAAGTATGTTATATACATAAATTTAAAGGGCGTCGAGAAAATGACTTTAGCGAAGTTTCATTGAAATCTGTACATTCGTTTAGGAGCTACAGTCTATAGCAACGCAGGTTTTTCAGCCGCCATTTTCAAATTAAAGGCGGAGAGTAATGTCGATGAAGGAGGTTCATCCTCGGGTGACCTCTGATTTTATATCAAAATTTGAAAAAAATCGGTCTAGTAGTTTCGGAGAAAATGCGCGGACGGCGAACGGCGGGCGGACAAAAAAAATTTTATTCGTTTTTCGAATTCTACGCATCTTGAAAGGTGAAACCTCAAATTTTGAGAGGGGCTTATGTTTTTTAATTTTTTGGTCGATCACAATGTTTCATTATTGAAAATAATAAACCAAAATCTATATACAAAACACTTGAAACTATGCCGAGGCACTTAAAACTATGTACAGTGGTAAAACATAAATATACACTTTAAAAAAAAATGCATTACATTCTTCCTAATAATAAACTCTGTGTTTCTGAAGATAAAGGAAAAAAAAAAGAAGACGAATCTGATAGGAATTATTTAAGTCATGAATCATATGTAAATATACCATTACGTGAATCATTTTTAATAATATATAAATTTACATAAAAGGTTAGCGGGGGTTGTCTGATTGTTTTCGGATAGTAATTGGAATAGGAGGGTTTTAAATGTAGATAGGGAGGGAGAATGCCGAATTTTGATAGGAAGGGAATTCCAGAAATTAACAGAGCAAGCAATAAACGAGTTTTGGAACGAGGCAGATCTGTGAGAAGGAATGTAAAGGTCGGAAGGTCGAGATCTTATGAAAAGGGAGTGGACTGATGACTTGAATTGGAGAAGGTTGTAGGCGTAAGAAGGACGATGATTTGATAGAGGAACGTAACTAGCAAATATTTTCTTCAAGTGGAGGGAAAGAGCCACTTTAACTCAGTGTAGTGGTGGGACACTTGGGAGTATCTCGAGGCACCAATTACAAATCTTACGCAACTGTTCATAAGTCTTTTCAGTCTTATGATATATATATATATATATATATATATTTTTTAAGGATGGTATGTTCAATGATGGTTTTTTCAGAGAGGTATGTTCAACTAGGAGTTTCACATAGAGCTGAACACATCTCCCTAAAGAAGACCTGCAAAATCGGGTCAAAATGTTAGCTTTTAATAAAATAGTTTTACCACTATTTAGCCTATTTATGACCGCCACCCCGGACCATCTCCTTCCTTTATAATGCAACGGTCAACTATTAAATATTCAATATATATATTTTATTTTTCGGTTGGCTCTACAGACCTTCTAGATCTTTGGCCGCCTGAACTGGCTTTCTTATATACATAAATCAAGAGAAAGTCGTATATGATAGATTGTATATATTTATATACCTAAGGATATTGATAAGAGTTATATTTTATATATAAGATTTATATACATTACATGAGAAAGTATTCTCTATTTCCTAATAATAGGAAAGATTAACATAGATTGGAACATGTTTTAGAAAGAAAACAGATCTATCTTTTAGTAAACATCCACCAGCAAGCATCAGTAACAATTTAAAATTCTCATATGAGCTTTGGGGCTCTACAAAAACATCAAATTCTTCCCGTATCCAATCCTTACAATCCAAAATTCTCCGTAAAAAGATGCTCCTTATTATGTAACAAATAAAATTATCCATAAAGACCTCAACATTCCTCTTGTGGAAGACTTGGTCCGAACTAGATATACCTCTTTTCATTCCAAACTCTTTGGTCACCCCAATCCTCTTGTTTGTCATCCAATACAATACCTGAAAACCTTCCGAGGCGTCTGAAAAGAAGATGGCCAAGGGACTTCCTAAATTAATTTATCTTTGAAGTGTTACCAATCGGTAGCTTCTTCACAAGTGCCTTCATGTAATATATTCCTATAGCAAATTTACTGGTTGTATATTTGTTTAAAATTGTAAATTACAATAAAAATATTTAAAATTAAAAAAAAAATCACATAAACAACACACTAAATGTTTCTTTGATACAAATTCAATTTTTTTAAAACATCAATTGAAAACAAAATGAAGAGCTCCACGATAAATGGAATACCTCTCTCCAAAAGGAAAATAATCAGTAAAATTATTGAGTATTTTGTTATACTCATAAAAAACTTATCAATACCACATAAAAAAATCTTGATGGCAAAACCCTGCAGAATTATTTCTCAAATAGAATTAAATATAAATAGTAGGCATTATTACGTGCTAAGAAAAATTAAAAAAAAAAAAAAACTCCACATAATGAGAACTATAAAAAGTGTCCAAACCTATTAATAAAGGAAAACTTATTAAATAAAATACAATTCATAATATGTTTGTCATTTTATTCTACTAAATTACATTTTTTTTTTGCTTTACGGAGAGGGGATTGGGAGTGCCAAATTTTATAGTATAATTAGGTATAACTCGAATTATAGCACTCAAGTGTACGCATAAACCATCGATTATTCATAAAATAATTAGGCTTATCAATCGATTAATATAGAAACTCAAGTGAACCTCATCAGAGCATCAAAATTGTGGGCATAAAACAAAACGAATTTCCTGCATATCAGTATTTCATTTATCCCTCTTCAAAATGATTTCGGGGTCTGAATCCGTTTTTATTAGAGTATTTACTCAATTAGACTGGTGTGACATTTAGCCAGATGAAACCGACCAATCAGTTCATTTATCACGTAGATATATGTCTTCCATAATTTGTCATTTTGGATAGCCATTGGCTGGTTGATATATGACGTCAACAAGCCAGGTGCTCGGGCCTCCATCGATAATCCTCACAAAGAGCTAATCATCTCATACAATTCATCACATTATCCTAATTGCTCCACGCCATTTTGGAAAACCCAATTTTATTAATTGGCTTTGGAATTAACCTGGAATGAGGCAATTTAGCATTTGCTAATCTCCTCAAAGATGTGGAAGAAAAACAAGTTTTTTTCATACACCGCAGCTGGACATTTTTGTATTTACTGAATTACGAATATATTTTTTTCTCATGAAGGAATAGACAATTCTTATTCCCAAACCTGTTGTATTAGAAATGGTCCTAATGATTTGTTATATATAAGCTTTAGTTAAATCTCCGTTTAAAATGCCTTCAGTAGCACTGATGATTTAGTGTGCCTTCAGTTTCATCATTGAAGAATGTAACGCCATGTTTTCGTTTTTACGAAGCTCATTTCATTGTAAATATTTACCGAGAATTTCATTCATCGTTCCAGCTTAATGCCAAAGTAGATATTGAAGTGGGATAATAGATGAGGTGTGACATTTTATTAGAATATTCATGGTTTATAAATATACTTTCTTTGTATAAGTATTAATAATATTTTTAATCCAGTTTATTTGGGGGCGGGGTGGCCGAATAGGCTAAAGCGTGTGTAACAGCACCGCTAGTTGCCTGGCAACCGGATAACAGAGATTTGAGATGATATAAAAAGTACAAGTTCGCGTCCCGTGCCGGAGGGGATTTTAAATTCCCCGCCCCTTCCCCCCGGCCCGGGAAAATCCCGTATAGCCTAAAAGGCGAGGTAGGGAAGAACAAAAAAAAAAAAAAAAATCCAGTTTATTATTTTCTACTTACTTTTATTATATTAAAATTGAGTTTTTTAAAACCGTTTATTTCTTTATCATTTACCATCATAATTTCATATTATAATTTCTTCTTTTATTTTTCTATTTAGCAGACTATTTATAGCAGGTACAGACTATAAAATGGCATCTTTAGTACAAAGAGAATAAGCATGTAAAATTGCTATATACTATCTTTGACACTAACGGTAGCGATATCTATTAAACAAATCTATATTAAAGCCTTTTTTTCTCCCACTCATGTGAAAAAAGAAAGAAAGAAGTAACTAATAGTATTCAATATTTTCAATTTATACAGCGGTTAATGATTTCCGTTTTTTTTTTATTCATTAATTTCCTACATTCCAAAAAAAAAAAAAATTACAACCAGTAAATTTAAAAAGAAAAATATAATGATATGAACAAATTTATAGAGAAACAACCCATTGATAGCAGTCAAATAAAAGTTGTTCATTATGACATCCCGTATTCTTCCGACTTCTTTTCAGACGTCTAGGAAGAAGCATGGTCTGAAACTTGAGACGAAAGTATTCGGATGGTCCTGAAGATTATTATGGAATGACAGGAATATAGTTTAGGCCAA